AAAACCTCCTCCAACTCCTCCTCCACCTCTCAGACGAACTTCTCCTTGATCGGACCGCCCATGAGGCCCTGCGTGAGTTTGTCTGGGCCCCAGGACACTTTCAGTCTTTCTTTGACATCGGGGTTGTTGCTTTCCCTGGCCTCATGTCCTCCTCCTCTTCTCGAAGTACGGGCGCTGACCAACGCGGGGATATGATCTCTTGGACTGCGGCGTGGGATAACTCGCAGTCTTCGTCCTAGCTTGTGGACCGGGGCAACGCGTACAACTGAGTCACACCAGGCCAGAGGTATTCCGATGTAGTCTACCATAGTGCCACCTCCACTGCTACCGTAGAAGTTTGATGCATAATGCGACACTGAAGCAAGCGAAAAAAAAGTCGGCTTCTTCAAGGATCTCTCGGAATCTCTGACCAGCTCCTCCTACGTGCTTTCCCTCGCCCTGACCCTTCCCACCGCCGTCGTCTAACCCGGAGAAGCAATTAAGGACCCCCCCGGCGTTATCATTAGCACCGCGCCGTAATTAAATAATTATTTGGGGGGGTTTTCGCCGAGCGATATTATTAGCACCGCGCAAATGGAAAGAAAATAAATAATTCCAGCGCCCCGCCTCGGGTGGCATCCCAATTAGAATTGTGATGAGAACCCGTGGGACCTGTGGGACCTCACACGGGAACCACTTTGAAACTTGTGGGACCTGCGAGACCTGCGGGACTCCGTGGGACCCGTGCGATCTGGTGCACCCCCTCCTGGTGCCAGGATAACGCTTCCGGGTGCCGGGTGCGTTATCCTTTCACCGGAGAGGGGGGGGGGGGTCCTTAATCGCTTACTCGGGTTACATCCCCTCCCATTGTCTCTCCACTCTGCTGAGCCCCGTCCCATCATTGAAAACACTTTTCAGGAGGCCCTTGGTCCACTCCGAGAGTTTTCTGCAGCACGCAAAATACTACCTCAGTGCATTCGCTGAACTGTGTCGCGGAGGAAATACAAAGCAATGACAAAACAAGCGGAGACCGTTCTTCCCTGCATCAATAGCTACGCCTCGCCCTTGGAGTGGAGGGGGAGGTAGTTCAACCCGTCGCATGTGCTGCTGCCGCCAGCCTGGGGGAAGCACTGCTGCCCACCACGATTCGAGAACCCTCCTGAGCTCCATCCAGCTTCGATGCATACTCCTTTCTGCATAACATGGATCTGATACGGGCAGTCAATCGGAGACTTTTCTCTGCGTGCCTGGAATACCAAGTACATGAATGATCTGTACTTCGGCCACGATGTCCAATAATCTATCTCCGGTCGCGTGCAAAGGGTTGTACACCATGAGCGAGAAGACAGACAGGGCCATCGCGGCTGGCCAGGAGCCCCTAGGACACATGGTTGCATTTTGTGGGGCCGCCCATGGTAGGTGAGTGGCCGAAACAATCGCTTGCTGCGCAAAGCAGAAGCGGCGACTAGGAGGAGGAGGAGGAGGATGAGGAGGAGGTGAAGGTGAAGGTGGAGGAGGAAGAGGAGGGAGGGAGGTGGGAGGCTCGCTCGCTCCATGTCGGATGTGGCAGGTGCTTTTCTCGAAGCACCAGGGCGGGCAACCAACGCACATATGGCATCGACGCCAAGGGCACATCGGCGTCCCGACGGCCCACTGCGACGAGCAGTGCCAGCTTCCTGGGGCACCACCGCACGGAACACCAGCCATGCAGGGCACCAGCGCAACGGCGGACGACTGCGACGGTCGGGGCCAGCTTCCTGGGGCTCACTCGTGGCAGTTTGGAGCAGAGGGCGTGGCGCTCTCGCTTGAGGATATCATCGCAGCTCAGGGCTCCAAGCCTCGATATCTGCATCCGTAATGCGGATGGGATGGCCAATCTCTAGAATCGGTTGGCCGCCTGAAGCTCTTCCAACATATGAGCCTGAAACTTGGGACTTCTGTCAGTTGCACAGGCGGAGGGCCCAATTTATGTCGAAGCCGATGGGCTCCGCAAGACAACACTTTATCATCATACCTACCGGTGTGATCTCGCACTGCTTTATTTCGACCGACCGTGTGCCCATAATGCGGTCGTGCTGGTGGTTGTGCTGGCGGCCGTTGTGCTGGTGATCGTGCTGGTGGTCGTGCTGGTGGCTGGTCGCGTTGGTGGTTGTGCTGGTGATCGTGCTGGCGGTCGTGTTGGTGGCCGTTCTGGTGGAGGTGCTGGTGATCGTGCTGGTGGTCGTGCTGGTGGTCGTGCTGGTGGTTGTGCTGGTGGTCGTGCTGGTGGCTGGCCGTGCTGGAGGTGCTGGTGGTCGTGTTGGTGGTCGTGCTTGGTCGTGCTGGTGGCTGGCCGTGCTGGAGGTGCTGGTGGCTGGTCGTGCTGCTGTGGTCGTGCTGGTGGTCGTGCTGGTGCTTGTGCTGGTGGTCGTGCTGGCGGTCGTGTTGGTGGCCGTTCTGGTGGAGGTGCTGGTGGTCGTGCTGGTGATCGTGCTGGTGGTCGTGCTGGTGGTTGTGCTGGTGGTCGTGCTGGTGGCTGGGCGTGCCGGTGCTTGTGCTGGTGGTCGTGCTGGCGGTCGTGTTGGTGGCCGTTCTGGTGGAGGTGCTGGTGGTCGTGCTGGTGGTCGTGCTGGTGGTTCTGCTGGTGGTCGTGTTGGTGGCTGGCCGTGCTGGAGGTGCTGGTGGTCGTGTTGGTGGTCGTGGTGGTGGTCGTGCTCGCGGTCGTGTTGCTGGCCGTTGTGCTGGTGATCGTGCTGGTGGTCGTGCTGGCCCCTCCCCCTCCCCCCCTGCGCCCCCCTCCCCTTATTCCGACCGACCGTGGGCCACCCCCCCCGCTTCTCCCCTGCGCCCCCTTCCCATTATTCCGACCGACCGTGGGCCACCCCCCCCGCTCCCTCCCTGCGCCCCCGACCGACCCCACCCCCTCCGCTCCCCCCTTGCGCCCCCCTCCGCTTATTCCGACCGACCGTGGGCCCCCCCCCGCTCCCCCCTTGCGCCCCCGTCCCCTTCTTCCGCCCGACCGTGGGCCACTCCCCCCGCTCCTCTTCTGCGCCCCTCTCCCCTTATTCTGACCGACCGTGGCCCCCCCACCGCTCCCCCCCTGCGCCCCCGTCCCCTTATTCCGACCGACCGTGGGCCACCCCCCCCCGTTCCTCCCCTGCGCCCCCCTCCCCTTATTCCGACCGACCGTGGGCCACCCCCCCCGCTCCTCCCCTGCGCCCCCTCCCCTTGTTCCGACTGACCGTGGGCCCCCCCCCCGCTCCTCCCTTGCGCCCCCGTCCCCTTATTCCGACCGACCGTGGGCCACCCCCCCCGCTCCTCCCCTGCGCCCCCCTCCTCTTATTCCGACCGACCGTGGGCCACCCCCCCGTTCCCCCCTTGCGCCCCCCTCCCTTATTCCGACCGACCGTGGGCCCTCCCCCCCGTTCCTCCCCTGTGCCCCCCTCCCCTTATTCCGACCGACCATGGGCCCACCCCCCGCTCCCCCCCTGCGCCCCCTTCCCTTTATTCCGACCGACCGTGCCCCCCCCCCCCCCCTCCCCCCCTGCGCCCCCCCCCCCCTTATTCCGACCCGTGCCCCCCCCCCCCCCCCCCCCCCGCGCCCCCCTCCCTTATTCCGACCGACCGTGGGCTCCCCCCCTGCGCCCCCCCTTCCCCCCCCCTCCCCCCCTGCGCCCCCCTCCCCTTATTCCGACCGACCGTGGGCCCCCCCCCCCCCCCGCTCCCCCCCTGCGCCCCCCTCCCCTTATTCCGACCGACCGTGGCGATTCCGACCGACCGTGTGCTCCCCCCGCGATCCCTGGTTTTCTCCATCTCCCATGGACCCACATCGTCATTGTATGATCCTTGGCACGCGTGCCCCTTGTATCCGCCACCGCGCTTGCAACGGTGTGTGTGTGTGTGTGTGTGTGTGTGTGTGTGTGTGTGTGTGTGTGTGTGTGTGTGTGTGTGTGTGCCGGGTCCTCCGGCTCCTTGCTAAGCAATAGTCCCACCAGCCCTCTGGGCGTACGTGGTCTAGAGAGCTGCCTCTTCCAACCTCCTTCTTCCCCTTCGGGGAAGGGCTCACCCCTCCCCTCCACCCTCTCCCCTGGACCTGGAGGGGTGGGGTCGCGGGTCGTTGGAGCGTCCGAGATGGCCCAAGATGGCTCCAGGAGGGCCTCTGAAAGCCCAAGATGAGTTCCAAGATGGCCTAGGATAGCCCAAGATGGCTCCCAAGATGCTCCAAGAGGCCCCAAGAACGCTCCGAGATGGCTCCAGGTGGCCACGGCGCCTCCCGAGGAGACCGCCAAGAGGCCAAAAATCTTCCAAACACCAAAGAAGAACCAATGAATTGTGCCTTGTCACCTTTTCGCTTCCGATGGCCTTCCGAGGCCTCAAGACAGCTCCAAGAGGGCCCAAGAGAGGCCCATGACGGCCCCCAAAACGCCCAAGATCGCTCCAAGAGCGCCCCAAGAGGGGCCCAAGAAGCGATTTGGGGGGCTCCCGAGGAGGGTCGAAATTAGAGCTCCCATCTGTTTTGATCGATATCTTCCAAGATGGCCCCAAGAGCTCTCCTAAGGCTCCCAAGAGCGCCTCAAGAGGGCCCCAAGAGGCGCCCAGGAGGCCCTAAGAGGCGCCCAAGAGGCCTCCAAGAGGCTCCCAAGAGACCCCCAAGAGGCTCCAGAGGCGCCCAAGAGTGTTCCAAGAGCGCTTCCAGAGGGACCCTTCCTCTTTGTGCTGCCCACTTCCCTGGTCGAGGCAACTCCTCTGGACATCGTCTTTGGATGGGCTGGCAAGAATTCTGCTGCCCCCGACGTATCGAGCCCAAGATGCGCTCTTGTGACCAGGCCCCTGCGCCACCGGCCTTCCCGGCAGAAGATGTGCCCAAATACATCGCTCCTGGCGCCCGATGCCCCTTACACCCCCCCCGCGCCCGAGCGCGGTGGCGGACTCGCGCGGCAGCGCAACTGGATAAGAACCACAGCCCCCCCCAGCTGGGGCTGGCCTGCCCCGGCCACCGCCCCCGCTCTCTCCCGACACCCCCCGCGGCCCTCTGCCCGCGCCTGGGCGGCGCTCGACGCCAGCGCTGCGGGCGCGGCCGCCGGCGACACGGCCATGGGCGGCACGCTCAGGGGCGACACGGCCACGGGCGACACGGCCGCGGCCCCAACCTGCGCCGCGGCGGCGGGCAACGCACGGGCCTCCGAGAGGCCCGTCGGGCACCTTGTGCAGGCAGCGAGGGCAAACTCGGGGGGGGGGTCTCCAAGTGCCGCGGTGGTCACTCCTGAGTGCGCCTCCCGAAACTGGCCGCTGGGCGTTTTCCGACGCTTGCCCTCGCCAGCCAGCACAGCAGCACCGCTGCCATGCGCTCCACCGAAATTCGGGGCGACAGCCACAACAGCCAGTGGGGGCGCCCAACCGATGAGATATGTTTTGGGGGCGGGAAGGGGGGATGATGAAGCAGGGGGATTAGAGGAGAAGAGGAGGGATGAGGAGAGGCAGGAGGAGGGGAGAATGGGGAACAGGAGGAGCAGGATTAGGAGTCAAGCTAGCCCGGTTCAGCGAGTCAGACGGCCCCGCCTAGTCCCACCCTCCATCGTACAACACAAGAACCACTTCTGGCACAACTTGGTATTGGAATTGGAGCGCGCTCCCACCTCGCTAGCGGAAGGCGCTCGCGCGCGGTCCCGCTTCCGACGACTTGGCGAAGAGGGTCCGCGCTGGGGCGGGAGCGGTAAAACTTCCGATGTGCGTGGCAAACACGAAGCATGCGCCGTGTTGGCATTGCATTGCCACTTTCACTCGCAATCTGCGCGGCGTTTTGGCGAGGTCCGCATTTCGCCCACTCTCGCGCGGCCCCGCTGCCGCTTTCGCTTCCATGCGATTCGGCAAACGAGCCCGGCGCCGCGCCCGCGCTGGATCGAACTTGCGACCCAAATGCGCACGGAACTTGGGCGAGGGCAACAAATTGCCCACTCGCGCGGGCCCCCAAACATTGGCGAGTGACAAATCTGCGCCGCGTCGAGGCGGGAACGCCACTTTCAGGCGAAATCTGCGCGCGCCAAAGCAAGAACGGCATTCGCCCGCTCGCGCGTCGGCGAAAATGCGAGCGAAAAACGCTCGCCGCGCCACAGCGGGAGGTCAGCTCTCTAGAAGAATGAGCGCGGCGACAAGGCGAAAGCGACATGTTGGCCTTTTCGGCAGGGTGTGTGCCAAGTCCCACCCCTGCAGCGCATGTTGCAACACGGACGACGCAAAGCCCATGGTCAGACGGACAACGCAGATTCTGCATGGTTTTTGACAGGTGGGATGGGACCACGCGGATTGGGCCTCCATCGGCCGGCTAGGTGGCAGAGTGGGAGCATATAGTGACACGGAATAAGGATCGGAGGAGGAAGAGGCAGAGAGAGGGGGACTTACGCTACGGGCCGTGGCGCCCAGCCGCCTGGCGAAGAAAGGAAGAGAGGGGGGAGGACGGGAGATGGCGTGAGGGGCAGAGGGGGGGCAATGCAAGAACGAGCAAGGCAAGCACCTTCACCACTTCCTCTGCCTCCGCCTCCTCGGTGAGGAGCCACCCCTCCTTATTTCGTTCAGCCGCAAGCCCGCCACTTCAGGGGTCCATCAACGGCCACCGCAAAGGCACATGCAGGCCGCGTTTTTTTCACGTGTCCAGGCCCCCAGGGGGGGAAGATCCAACATGCGGTCGGCGGATTGTTCGCACGTGAAGATACGCGTGCGGAGTGGTATGCAACATGCGTCTGGCGCGTGCGCGTTTGGTGCTAATTTTCGCGTGTGAGAACCCCCGAGGGGATATCCAACATGCGGCCAGCGGATTCTTGACACGTGAAGATGCTCGTGCGGGAGGTGGGGTACCCAACATGCACCTGGCGTGTGCGCGTTTCGCACGTGTCTTGACGTGTCCAGCTCCCCCGTGCATTTGTATCATGCGGTCGGCTGACTGTTCTACGTAAGAATACGTGCGGGGATTCGGGGTCCAATATGCGTCTGGCGCGTGCGCGTTTAGCCTAATTGTTCATGCGTGCTCATACGCAGAAGTACTTGCTCGGAAGGGGTGTCCAAAAACGTTTGAGCTGTGTTATTTTGGCATGTGAGTTCGCGTGTCCAGGCCCCCGAATGAGATATCCAACATGCGGCTAACAGGTTCTTGGCACCTAGAGATACGTGCGTGGAGGGGAGGGGTCATCCAACATGCGTCTGGCGCGTGCGCGCTTGGCACGTGCTTTCACATGCAGACCAGAGAGGGCATACAACATGTGGTCGGCGCATTCTTCGCACGTAGAACTATGTGCCCGGAGGGAAAGGTGAGTATCCGGCCTGCGTCATACCGATGTGTGGCTCAAGTTCCTGGCCGGGTTCGTTGATCCCTTTCGTGTGTTCAGAATTCGACTTCCAAGGACACGCAGTTTTTTTTCCAGGACGGCGGCATCTCATCATCTCACAGCTGCTCTAGGCCTCCACAGCGAGTACTTTCTCAACCATCGGACAGCACACCAAAAAAAAGCATCAGGAGGAAAGGAGCGGAGATGGAGGAAGAGCAGGCACACAACGAGAAAGAGCAAGAAGAATATTGAACTGCCGTTTTGGATCAGAAGCCGGCTGACGGCACTCGCCATCGCTCGGACGTCCATTCCCCGTGCATTTTTTGGTTTCGGTGCGTGTGTGTTCTCATGATGGCCCAAGATGTTCCAGAAAAATGCACACGTCCGACCGATGCCGAGCACAGGCACAGGCCAGATAGCTGCTCGCATCGATCTGGGGGAAGGAGTAACGTACCGGTAAGTGGGGGAGGGCGGAAAGGAATATGGCCGAGGGGGGCGGTGTTGAGGAGAGAAAGAGAGAGAGAGAGAGAGAGAGAGAGAGTGAGAGAGAGAGAGAAAAAAAAAAAAAAAAAAAAGGAGAGAGAGAGAGACAGAGGGAGATAGAGAGAGATTGAGAAAGAGAGAGAGAGAGAAGGGGGAGAGAACGCATAGGATGATGGGAGAAATGGAGGAAGAAGAGGAGGAGGAGGAGTGGTGGAAACGCAATATTCTTCAACGATGTTACAATAAACCTTCCTTCCAATATCCCCCTTTCACAGGCCTCTGCAAGGGTTCATTTCTACTGAAGGAACTGCCTCGTTGGGAGACGACCGTCTGAATGCCCTGAAGCCTGCCCAAACACCATTCTCGTGACTCCAACGCCACGGATCAACATGACTGTTGCGTCTTGGCGATATGGAATCGGGCCAGAAGGCCAGTCCTGGGACCCCAGCACCGCGAGTCAGCGCAACTGTTGCGCCCTCACAACCCAGAGTCGTTCGGAAACACTATTTCGGGCACGCTGACCATGGCAATCCGCGAAGCCCTTGCAGATGTTTCAAGCGAGTGTGCGCGGCCCTGAGGCGAGAACCACATTTTGATGAGGAGCCGCTCTCAAACCGCGAAGATCTTGCAAATGTTTGAAGAAAATGTGCGCGGCGTTAAGGCGAGAACAACAGTTTGAAGACGAGCTGCAATCAATCCGTGAAGCTCTTGCAAATTGACAATGCGCGCGGCGCTGAAGCGAGAACAACATTTTGAAACAGAGCCGCCCTCAATCTTTGAAACTTCTGCATATGTTTTTAAATATGTGCGCGATGCAAAAGCGAGAGCCACGACGACCCGCCCTCAATGCGTGAAGCTCTTGCAATTCGCTTAGCGAGTTTATGCGGCGCTAAAGCGAGAGCCACATGTTGAAAACCACCCACCCTCGATCTGCGAAGCTGCTGCCAGTGTTTAAGCTTCAGAATCATGAATGGTGAGGAAGTCTCAGGCAAAACGCCCGGCCCGCCCTTCCGACTGGCCTGGGGGTGCGACAGGGAGGATTATGCATATAAGGAAAAAGGAATTGAGGAGAACAGAAATGTGTTTGGCACGCACGTGCTCTCGATCACGTCGGCGAGTGCGCTTCGCACGCTCATCACCTTGATAATGTCTGCAAACGCGATCGCCTTCCTGAGACCGGCCGGCTTTGACGGACGCGAGCGATGAGTCAGACAGCGCGCCCTGTGCGCTTATGCTCCTAACGGGCATCACGCACTCGTTGGTGGTCGTGATCAGGGGAGGCCAGCCGTGGCCGCGACGCGAGGGATGAGTCAGACAGCGCGCCCTCCGTGCCCATGCCCACGACGGTCGTCACGCGCGCGCGCGTCGGTGGTCTTGTGCAGGGAGGCGCTGTCCATTCCCGCACCCACCGAGATCATCTTGCCGATGGTCTTGGTGACCTGCTGCGGGGTTGACTCAGGGATGGGCTTCGAGTGCACGTCCGAGGTCCGATCGATGTTCTTGATGAGCGGGTAGGCGGCGGCAGACAGCCTGTCGGCAGCCGCAGAGAAGGCGTCCCCGCTGTGCTGCCAGACGCGGCGCACGCAGGCGTAGACAGAATGACGGGGTTGGCCTTCAACACCCGGGTAAAATCGATGAGGGCGTCGCGGGCGGCCTTCGCTTTGGATTCTGTCAGAGTCGAAGGCAGGTACACTGGAACCTTCAAGACCATCGGCGCACGGCGTAGCGCATGCCCATGGTCGAGGACTCGGACATCGATGCGACCACGCGACCGATGCGATTGCGGCCACTGCGCCTCCATGCGCAAGCTGGTTGGCGGCAGACTCAAGATGGCAGAAGTGCGGGATCCCGCGCCTACCTTTAGCAGGTTGGAGCTTGAAGCCCATCTAGCCACAATGTCTGTCATCGTGGCGACGACCTGCGCGTAGCGGATCGTGCCTATAAGGCCAGGCCTGCAGGCTTTGTAACTTCCCGAACTCTTCGGCACCTCTATGTCATGAGCGGTTACGCCGCCTTCGGAAGCTTGGCAGCGACATCCTCGATCGCGTCCGCGTGGGCGTTCAGGGCGGCGCCCAGCGCTGCCGTCGCACACGCTGCCGAGGGGGTATTATGCCACCCCGCCGGCGCAGCCACGAAGGCTGTGCCTCTCAACATTGGCCACCACAGCCGCGGTGAGCGTGTCCCTGCGCCGCTGCGGGCCCCTCAGCGGAGCCGAAGGGACCCTGAGCCCACCTGGGTCTGAGCCAGACCTGCTGCGGACGAGGGAGGAGCACTGGGAGGAGCAGGAAAACGAATGAGGAGGAAGAGGCGGAGGGAAAGGGCATGGACCAAGGAGGAGGGGAGAGGGAGGGCCATGGAGCGGGAGGGAATGGGCGAAGGAATGGAGGGAAAGGAGGGGAAGGGTGGTGCGCGAAGCGCGCATAGCCTCGCGCCCTCGACGCTGACCCCAGAGGCCAGAGGCCCGCTGCGAGGCGACCAGCGCATGGCGACCAGCGCATGGGCGAAGGGCGAGGCGGGAGGCGAAGCGACCAGTGCATCCCGCATGATCTAAACAGACTACCCTTCCTGGTGCGGATAAGAAAAGGGAGGGAACGAAGCATGGGGGAGGAAGAGGAGAAGTACGGATGGTGGTGGTGGTGGTCACTGCATAAGGGAAACAGAATCCCGAGCAGAGCAACACGCACCACGACCACGACGACGCCGACGACGACGACGACGACGGAGACGAGGCGCGCTTACGATCCGCACCGAAGCACGGATTTGGGAAAGGGCCCACCCTGCAGGTTCGGTTAAACAGCACATCGTTGAGCGGTGCTGCAGCCTCCCCTGAGCACAGGCCCCCCCAGAGCATCAGCCAGACAAGTCGGGTTTGCACCCTCATGCCTTGCTGGACTCTGGGCGCGTTTCGGCACCCTCTCCCCCAACCTCGTCAGGGCCACCGACAAGGGAGAGGGCGGCGGTGGCCGACGCGTCCCCGAGCTAAGAAGCTCAAAGCGCCGCGGCTCAGAGAGCCGGGAAGACAGACAGACAGACGGACGGACGGACAGCCAGGCGGCGTGCAATGCCTGGCAAGCCAAGTGGGTGGTCACTGCATAAGGGAAACAGAATCCCGAGCAGAGCAACACGCACCACGACCACGACGACGCCGACGACGACGACGACGGAGACGAGGCGCGCTTACGATCCGCACCGAAGCACGGATTTGGGAAAGGGCCCACCCTGCAGGTTCGGTTAAACAGCACATCGTTGAGCGGTGCTGCAGCCTCCCCTGAGCACAGGCCCCCCCAGAGCATCAGCCAGACAAGTCGGGTTTGCACCCTCATGCCTTGCTGGACTCTGGGCGCGTTTCGGCACCCTCTCCCCCAACCTCGTCAGGGCCACCGACAAGGGAGAGGGCGGCGGTGGCCGACGCGTCCCCGAGCTAAGAAGCTCAAAGCGCCGCGGCTCAGAGAGCCGGGAAGACAGACAGACAGACGGACGGACGGACAGCCAGGCGGCGTGCAATGCCTGGCAAGCCAAGTGGGTGGTCACTGCATAAGGGAAACAGAATCCCGAGCAGAGCAACACGCACCACGACCACGACGACGCCGACGACGACGACGACGGAGACGAGGCGCGCTTACGATCCGCACCGAAGCACGGATTTGGGAAAGGGCCCACCCTGCAGGTTCGGTTAAACAGCACATCGTTGAGCGGTGCTGCAGCCTCCCCTGAGCACAGGCCCCCCCAGAGCATCAGCCAGACAAGTCGGGTTTGCACCCTCATGCCTTGCTGGACTCTGGGCGCGTTTCGGCACCCTCTCCCCCAACCTCGTCAGGGCCACCGACAAGGGAGAGGGCGGCGGTGGCCGACGCGTCCCCGAGCTAAGAAGCTCAAAGCGCCGCGGCTCAGAGAGCCGGGAAGACAGACAGACAGACGGACGGACGGACAGCCAGGCGGCGTGCAATGCCTGGCAAGCCAAGTGGGTGGTCACTGCATAAGGGAAACAGAATCCCGAGCAGAGCAACACGCACCACGACCACGACGACGACGCCGACGACGACGACGACGACGAGGCGCGCTTACGATCCGCACCGAAGCACGGATTTGGGAAAGGGCCCACCCTGCAGGTTCGGTTAAACAGCACATCGTTGAGCGGTGCTGCAGCCTCCCCTGAGCACAGGCCCCCCCAGAGCATCAGCCAGACAAGTCGGGTTTGCACCCTCATGCCTTGCTGGACTCTGGGCGCGTTTCGGCACCCTCTCCCCCAACCTCGTCAGGGCCACCGACAAGGGAGAGGGCGGCGGTGGCCGACGCGTCCCCGAGCTAAGAAGCTCAAAGCGCCGCGGCTCAGAGAGCCGGGAAGACAGACAGACAGACGGACGGACGGACAGCCAGGCGGCGTGCAATTCCTGGCAATTCCTGGCGAGGCGGGAGGCGAAGCGACCAGTGCATCCCGCATGATCTAAACAGACTACCCTTCCTGGTGCGGATAAGAAAAGGGAGGGAACGAAGCAAGGGGGAGGAAGAGGAGAAGTAAGGATAAGGATGAGGAACGGAAGGGGAGCAGGATGAATGAAGGAGGAAGAGAAGGAGGAGATGGGCGGAGCTTCGGCGAAGGTTTGGAACATTTTCGGAGGTGTACGGCATGGTCATGAACGTTTGCTTAGGGCGTCGCAGCGGCGGCCCTGGCGACACGCTATGCCCAGCTGATAGTGTGTCGCTCTGCTCCGCGGGGCGGGAGGCTTGGTAAGGCTCGGGACGTTGACGCGCGGGGACTGGGAAGTGGCTAGCATGTTGCGCCTACGTAGGCATGATGAGCCAGAATCGGCGTAGCGACACGCCAAGCAATCGTTGCTGACGGCATGTTTGTCTGATGCTTCTGAATGTTTCGGAGGTCGCAGCATCATCACCATTAATACCAATACCACCACCATCATCACCATCATCATCACCCTTCCTCAACCTCCCTCCTCCTCATCCTCCTTGTCATCCTCCTGCTGCTGCTCATTCTGCTCGCTCTCCTTTTCCTCCTGTGTTGCTTCTGCCGCTCATCATGCAACTCCTCCTTCTCTACATCCTCCTCCACCTCCTCGTCCTCCTCCTTCTCCTCCTCCTCCCTACGAAACAACTGGCCAACCCTGCTTCCACTCCGACCTGCAAAACTCCTGGGGCAACCTCGATGGGCAGCACGGAAGCGGCCGGCACCTCCAGGGCAGGAACCTGCTAACGAGAGAGAGAGAGAGATATGTATATATATATATAGAGAGAGAGAGACTTAGAAACAACAAATGCAATGAGAGAAAGAGGGAAACACGCACACACGTGTAAATGCATGTGCAGGGGAATTGTCGTCCACACAACAATGTAAACATGCTTACAGGTCGACTTCGAGATATTGATATTGACACACACACACACATTTGTTGATATATATATATATATATATATATATATATTATACAGAATTATACAGATGTACATGTATATACGTGTCCGCTGTGAATAGCTCGCAGTAGAGATAGCGGGGAAGGAAGAAGTCATGGTCATCTGGCAGGGAGCTGAAATTACAAATGATGCCTTACAACATGGGGCGACAACACATGCGCAAATTTCTGCAGGGTGTACATTGATAAATACCAATATTGCCTCGCTTGCTGGCGTCGCTCTCTGCCGTTCCCTCGCCCTTGAGGCGATTACGAAATCAGCCGCTGCTTTGAAGCGGGCGTTACATTCCGACCCCCTTGACTATAGTCTCCGCTCAACCAGAAAAAAAAAGCAACGCACATTGCTGACATCCTACAGGTCCTCTCTGGAACCCCTGAATACAAAAACACGTCACCACTTTGGGAGATATTTGCCGTCCGCCAGCTTCCGCGTGTTTGTTTACTTCCGCTGGCCTTCCGCCGAAAAAGAAATGCCACCTCATCGGTCCCTCGAGGGCGACGCCATTTCTGAAACGCCCCACTTGTCGACAGGCTCGGCCACTCAACTCCTGCAGATCTCTCCGAGCTGCCGCGACAAATGCGACGGAGGCTGAACCTGCTCCCTCGGCGAGCGCGCGCGAGGGCGTGGCGCTGGCGATCTGGGCGCGGAGGCCTTTGGGGGGGGAGGGAAGCCCGGCCGCCTCGTGCGTGCCCGGCCTCGAGGCCAGGCACGCTTGTTTTGGCAAAAAAAAAACCGTGACCAACCCAACCCGAAATTGGCTCTCCCACCGTTGCCAGGCGCGACCGGTCGCGCCCGAAATTTCCTCGGCAACGGTCGGTCTCGGTCGTTCCCGCTCGTTCCCGAAAATTTCCGGTCGCGCATGATCTGGGCCCTGGCTGGCCGGGACGACCCCGGCGGAGACGACCCCGGGCGGCGGCAGGGCCCGGCCCGGGAACCACCGCGCGCGGCACGGCGGCACGGGGAGCTCCTGGCGGCGGGGCCGCGGCGAGGCCCGCCGCGCCCGGGAGCGGCGGGGGCCTGGCGGCGGCACCGGCGGCTGGGGGGAGCTCATTCGCAGGGGGCGCCGGGGAGGAAGCGGAGGAGGAGGAGGAGGAGGAGGAGGAGGAGGAGGAGGAGGAGGAGGAGGGAGGAGGAGGAGGAGGAGGAGGAGGAGGAGGAGGAGGAGGAGGAGGAGGAGGAGGGAGGAGGAGAGGAGAGGAGGGAGGAGGAGGAGGAGGAGGGCGAGGAGGAGGAGGGGGAGGAGGAGGAGGAGGGGGAGGAGGAGAAAAAGGAGGAGGAGGAGGCGGAGGAGGAGGAGGAGGAGGAGGGAGGAGGAGGGAGGAGGAGGAGAAAAAAGAGGAGGAAAAGGAGGAGGAGGAGGCGGAGGAGGGGGAACGGGCGTCCTAGCGGCTGGGCTGCTCGGTGAGGAACGCGTCGGCCGTCGAGAACTTGCCTCCAAGAAAGCGGAGCGGCGGGGGGCTGCTGTTGGAGTGCAATGACGACCTCGCCACGAGGGAACTCATCTAGGGAACGAGGCGCCCCAGTCACACCTGGATGTAGGTACTAAGAGCGACCATGGAAAAACTCTGGGCCAGGAATTCCGAGACCCTCCGACAACGACGGGTGCGTTTCTGGTAAACAGTACCAACGCTCTGGCAACTCAAATGCTACAAGAAGGACCGGCCAACTGGGCCGGGAGGAATGACATGAGGAGCGGCGAACCCTTCCGAACCCAACTGCATCCAGAG